TACATATACACACACAACACACACACACATATACACATACACACACACACACAACATATACACATACACACACACACACATATACAACATACACACACACATATACACACACACACACACACACACACACACACACACACACACACACACACACACACACACACACACACACACACACACACACACACACACAACACACACACACACACACAACACACACACACACACACTCTCACACACACACACACACCCACGCTGAGTTATCGTTCGTTTTGGAAAAAAAAGTTGGTCAGCCCTGAAAGCGCTTGACTTCGACTAGCAAACAATAAGAAATAGTATTTGCGTGTCGAAGTAGTGATGACCGCTAGTGATGACTTCGAAATATTCATATATCTCAGGTAATATAAGTCACGTTAATTTGGCGTTGGTGTCATCTTTAAGCTGATATTTGTCAGTAGCAGCTGTGGTAACACTGCTCAGATCCACGATGTGGCATTTTAAATATAAGCAAACATTTTCTATATTATACAATTTTATTACGACAAGGGCACAGGTCCATAAAACAAATCTGAGTTGTTTATAGTCAATATGCATTATCGGACGAGGCGGCCTAAAGATGGTTCTCTCGGTTTCATTCTAAAAATTTCGATGTAGAAGATACCCCTCGTAGTGATAGACCAGTTACGCAGACAGCTGATGAAACGATTGCACAAGTTGAGTGGCCATAATGTTGCCAAGGGACTGAACACCCACTATCAAACAGCTTTAGACCATCTGAAGAAAACTGGCTACAAAAAAGAAAGGAGAAAAAAGACACGCTTCGGTATTGCACAAACTCAGCTAAAACGATTTACCCGATCGTATTTCCGTCTGCGAAACTCTACAGAAAATCGAGCCATTTTTAAAGCTATTGATCATGGGTGATGAAAAATAGATCACATACAACAACAATATGCAAATAATAAAATGCAAAAAATTGTGTGCTTCACAATATATGGCAAAACCCAGACTGACGCGAAAGATGGTCATGTTGCCTGCTCGGTGAAATTAAAGGAATCGTGCATTAGAAGCTGCTGCTTCTGCTGCCGCCGCCTCGCAAAAGACCTCTACTGTCAACAACTAATAAGATTACTACAAGTGGTTGAAGAAAATCGACCAGAACTATTGAATTTAAGGGGCGTCGTTTTCCGCCATGACCAAATCGCCAGATTACATACATTTTTTAGCTAACCGGCAAAAGTTGAGAGAACTGTTGTGTAGTGCGGATTTTGCGTCACTGGACTGCCATCTCTCCTAGCCCCTACAAAACTCCTTTGATATAGTTTCAATGACGGCATATTTTTTTGAGTCCTGAAAAAGATCATTGGTCGCAATTTGCCGCGCAGAAACAGCAATGGGAATGGCAGAAAGTCATGGATCAACATGGCGCATATTAAATTTACTAATATCATTGTAGAAGATGTATTTGCTTCAGTTTGGCTTAAAAACGCTTGGCAGTTCAGTATGACTAACCACGTTACTGCTGTTTGATCATTGAGTGCCCCTATCACAGTACATGTGATTACATGGATTAACGTACATAGATCAATAATGGTAATCGATATCATCTGTGTAAAACGGTTATCGCTTAAATACTCTTTAGGAGTATTTAAGCGATAACCGTGCTATTCAAGCGTACGTATACAACTGCTTTTTGCTTTGGAGTCTTTACTGCTAACACAACAAACGGCAAATAAGGTGAAAGGCAATGTGCGGACAACAATTATCGAAGGCCCTCTTTGGCGTTCGCCAGTTCTCAGGCTATGGCTGGCCTTTTTATTGTCGTGATGCCTATAGATGTCCGCATGTCATATTATTCGTTTGCTTTTTGCCATCTCTCGCGCAGAGACCTAATGCTGCCACTGTCGAAGTGCAGCTACGGGCTGGCATACGCCGTGGGTTACGCAGCTAGCCCAACTTCGAAACGGAACGGAAAACGAGCCCTAAAGCTAGCCAATTACAGATTGACAACTATCTCTTCGAATCATAGTTTATATATTGTGCACTTTAAGACATGCGCCTGTTAACCCATGCGCTTGCCTCTCGTCAAAAATACCACCATCCCCGACAATGACCACCTGTACAACTATATGCATAGCTACTAGTTGTTTATTGCTATTTCTTTGGCGGCAAGAATAATAGCAAAAACACTATCACCGTAATACTATTATTTTATTTATATATATAGCCATTGGAGATGTTACCTCATTGACTGACCAAGCGAGTAAGCGTAGTTCAAAGATGAAATTGTGACCTCTCCTTCATTCTATGCAGCCGCTTCCGCCGATGTTATCGCTTGCGCCGTCAGGTGCGACGACAGCTAACCATTCTGAATACAGCCATTCAAGGATCAGTCAATGTCAGCTGACAGCATCCAGGTGAAGTATGTACTGGTCATCGGCTGTTAATATTTCCCATACATACACTAGTGAATAGATTCAAGGGGAAACAATAAGTGCTCTTAGAAATAACACGATTGCCAAATGCCCTTTAAAAGTATAGGAAGCAACAAGTTCAATCTGTTTCATCATCGAGGGCGGCGGTGTATCCAGGTCGAGGCCCAACTAGTTCCTTTTTGTCGGGTCGGCAAATTCCAACTGCGCTAAAGAGAAACGGAAAAGGTTGGATCGCCTGTGTAACAGTATTGAAGGCGGGCAGGGGCACAAAAGGCCATCTATTGCGGGCTGCCTGCGGGGAAATACATACGTGATCAGTAAGCGGCTGTGGAGATCCTATTATTGGTTTTATAAACTGTGACAAACCACTAACACGCCCAGAATACGAAACTTCCTATAATGCTGGCAACAACAACGCACTAGGCGAGGTAAACTCATGCTCACGTCAGAACAATTATACGTCTTATCGTATGGGTATGATCAGGTATATCATATATGGCCCGACAGTGACTGACCGACGAAATCAGGAAGAAGCTCGCCTCAATTAGTCAGTGATTCAATGGGGAGGCTGGTTATGGGCATCGTGCTATGTCTATGTGTGAAGCATGTCTATATATACTTCAACTAAATGTTGGTAGTAATTTATGGCAGGTATGGTAATACCGGCATCAGATCGTCAACCACACGATTGAGAACTTATTTCATATACAGTAAAAATAAGATTCTGCTTTGCATAACAGGGAATAATGGGGCGTTATTTCTTTTAAATTAGGCAACCTGCGCTAGAGCTGGTGTTGAGGCATATGCATGTTATTCCGTAAAGCCCATATTAATGACTGGATCTATAGGTAAAGCTTAGCGTAGACAACTTTTGTGGAAGCTCGCTGAAACACAGTGAAAACGTTTATTGAGTATCGAACAATTCATTCAATGATAACTAACAACTTCCTAGTCCCACAATCGCGTCGTAGTAAAAACAACAACAACAACAAAGACTTTAGTAACGAATAAACACGCAAGTAAACAAGCAGACGAGTAACCTCCTATCGCATTGCCGCCCAGTGAAATGTACAAGCGCTTGCATTCCGCGATACCAAATTCGCTGCTTCTAAAAGCTGTGATTTCGACTGTTGAATGGGTGAATCCCCGTTTTCCGGCATCAGTATAGCCCGCCATCTCGTTCTACTACAGCTTCGTCTATACGCGTCGCGATGGCGTAATGATACGATCATATGCGACGCTTGGACGTCGTCCTAGTCAACGACTCATTAATCGACCGATTCCCGACTGCTGCATCACTTAATGAATAATAGATGGCATCGAGTGACGCACATTTGCATCCACTCGTAACTTTGTCGTCGTCTGCAAATATTGCTACACCCGTCGTGTGCAACAATCACAGAAACATGTCGTCACAGGGCCACGCGGTGTATGAACAATGACTTGGCTAGAGACCGAAAGCTCATCAACAGGCGCTCTATATGAACGCTGACGACGACGACGACGACAACAACAGAAAAGGGTAACGACAAAGGCTGTGACAGTTACATCGGCATGATAACACACACAGAGAGCATGAACATCGACATGGAGTCCTTGCACAGAAGGACGCATAGAGGAATATCAGGGAGAATATAGCCGCCCACTAGCAGCAATGTAAC